ATTAATATGAGGAAGTGATTAATATTGATTGTTGCTCACTTGACGGTTCATGGCACTAAGACCCTGCTTCTACACTAGGTCGCTTCAAAGAGGGTCATAGCGTTTTATAGACCCTAAACCCTAAACCCTAAACCCTCATACTAAGTCCCATGGACCTTCAAGTAAGAGAGCCACTTTAGGGCTGAGCCTAGGAGAGGGTGGTGAAGATGCCGGCGGCTTATACCGCGAGGCCAGCTGTTTGTCGTGCAATTCTTGCAGGCAGGTCCCCAAGATGTTATCAGACATGCCAACCAGAGATGCACATGAGCCTGAGTTTAAACTCCTCAAAAGGGAGTTATATAGGGTAGTACTATAGAGGTTATTAAGCGGGATACTAGGACTTTAGACTATAGCTCATGCGCGTACTATTTACTATTAGTAACTAGGGAGCTCCAACATGTGTGGGGCCAGTGTGTATCAGGAACTGCGCAGCTCACTTTGCCTGCCTTGGCGCAAACTTGGCAGACCGCTGCTGTTTTGGCTGTTTGAGGCAGAAACGCAGGCTACTTCCAAACAGTTTTAAGCAAGATGCCTTCATTGGCAAAGCATGTGGCCACAAAGTGCTCAAGAAGCTGATTTGACACAACCTGTCCCAACAATTTAGGGGTTTAGGGTACAGGGCATTCCAGAGGAGAGACCAACATTCTGTTCAACACAGCGTGCATTTCTGGGCAAATTGGAACAACCTCATTCCGCCACAACCCAAATTGGTAATTCATGTGAGCCATGGTCCAAACTCCTTAAGGAAGTATTATAGGGGTTATTAAGGGGGATACGTTGGGGTTCTAGGAGTTTAGACTATACCTCATGTAGAAACTAGTACCAGCTTAGCTTAATTCAAAGCTTGGAAAATTCTTTTAAAGTAGGCGGAGATTCATAGAGCAGGCGGCCTCCACTACCGCTTGGCCATGGCATCTTCAGAGCAGCCAGCGAAGAGAGCAAGGGCTGGACCAGATTTGAAGATTGTGGTTGATGATGGAGAACTGGAGGTGCATTCACTTATTCACTTATTCTTGAGCTGGCTTCTCCGGTCTTCGCAAGCATGCTTAGTAGCACCATGAAAGAGAGCATGTCGACATCGATTCAACTGCCGGGTAAATGCAAAGCTGAGCTGGAGACCTTCTACAAATCCTTGCAGCTTTGTAGCATGGAGCCTCTCACCTTGAAGAGCGCCACATTCCTAGTCCAATGGTCAGATGAGTATCAGGTAGACGCCTTGAAGGCGAAATGCGAGCAGTTTTTGATGTCTAATGCTCCGAAGGATGGTCCTGGGTTGCAGTTTGCGGTGAAGTATCTTGGCTGACGTTAGCCTGGCTCTTGGGGCTTTAGCTTCTCTGGTTGGGGTTTAGGGTTTAGGGTTTAGGTCCGTTTTCATAAGTAGGGAGGCTAACAATCTAACTCTTAGGAGCTGTCCAACAGTCAGCTCAGGTATGGTCTCCAGAAGCGGACCAAGCAGTGTCTGGACGCATTCAAATCCAGAATTCCAGAGCACATCAGTGACATGCACGTCCTGACAAGCCAGGAATGTCAAGAGCATCTGATAGACATTTGGCCGTTGATAGTAAGGCACGCTGGCTTGCCGCAAATGAGCATGCCCCCTGCGGAGCACATGAGAAGTATGTGGCCGTTTGTGTCCAATCTGTGCATTGCAGCCCCCAGGCCACCAAACTTCAAAGGCTGCAGGGGGCTCTCGCAAATGTTCCCCGCCAGTTGAACCTCCACTTGGGTGTTACCGCGACCGGTCAGAAAGCCGAAAAATGGATGCTGGACAAGCTTAATGGACTGGGCATCAACCCGTGACTTCAGGACACTTGCAGCTGTGGACCGTGCAATCTGGACAGAGACTGCGGCTTTTTTGCGCGTTGCTCAAAAAGAAAAAGCACATTCAATGTGCATTTGGGGCAGCAAACGAATGTTGCCATTCTCGCTGAATGTAGTTACTTCGTAAATTGCACCTGTACTAGTGGCAGGCCTTGACAGTCACTCAGGATGTTTATTGACATCTCCCTGCAGCCTAGGAGGAGAGTCGCGGCCATGAGGGAGCAATATCAAACCGATGCGAACAGATGCTGCGCCGAGTGCTTGAAGATACCTTGGGAGCAAGTTGTGTGATCCCAGGGTGACATCTCGCAGGGTTCTACAAAGAGCTGCGCGGCAATAGGGATGTACTGTTTGATATCTATGGCATCTCCCAAATGTGTAGTATTTTTGGGGGATATTATGGTACCCATTATAGAGTAACAATATATTTTCCTTTTGGGGTATAGTTTTTTATATGAGGATCTCAATTTAGGTTCAACCACCAAAAAAACACTACCCAAATTGGTTGAGTGAAGGACCCGCAAGTCCCTGTCTGATGAACCCTCACGAGTCCTGTTTTTTTTCAGGGGTTTAGGATTTAGGGATTAGGGATCAGGGTTTAAGGTATTTTTTGTTAGAGGCTTAGGATTTAGGGCTTAGGGTTTAGGGTATTTTTGTTAGGGGCTTAGGATTTAGGGATTACGTTTTAGGGTTTAGGGTATTTGTTTATTAGGGGCTTAGGACTTATTAGTGCTTAGGGTACCCGATAGTGAAATACGTGCCCAAGAACTGTACGTCAGTTGAGCTATTGTCTTAACCTTCGAGGTGGTTGTATAGGGGATCACATTGGGGAGTATTATAAGGGGTATTATAGGGGGGGTATTCGGAACTTAGACTTTGGCTCAGCTATTTTTTACTAAGCCCTAAACCCCAAATCTTAACCCTAAGCCATACACCCTGGCGAGCATCAAATCATGGAGTTCTTGGACCCTTTGGGTTTTGAAGCGTGTTTCGCTACGCAGAGAGGCTTGTCGGTATATAGAATGGGTTTTAAGGTTTAGGTTTAGGGGATAAGCGCCCAGTCTCCGCAAAACTCTCACCTTGCATATTAATCCTCGTCTACCTCTATATCTATACGGGTTGATCTGAAGGTCCTTTTGGAGAAATTGCTTAGGGTACACCAGGGGAAAAATAGACTTTCCATCATGGATATGGTGTTTAGGGTTTATGGGTCTCAGGGATTGAGAAAGAACAGGGAAAATGTATAATGCAGAATGAAACGGACAAGGAAAATGGACAAGGGAATTGAACCTCGGCTTTTCAATGTGTAGGGGTATTTGGTTTGATATTATACCAGCCCCTATATCACCCTGGCAAATGCTTTTCCACAACTCGGATACATGTTTGGTTCGAAAGTAGGCATACATACTCTAAACCCTACACCCGAAACCGGTTCCACCTAAACCGGGCAACAAGATTGCGCTATGAAACGTCGCTTTGACACGCGGCATCTTGCACTACTGCTTACTGGGGAGCTCACTCAGACTAATTTCTAAGGCCTATAAAATTGTTTTGGAACCCCTAAACCCTAAACCCTCCTTTCATGCCCCGAAATCCTGTGCTCCCTCAAATCCCCATGTTGTGAGATGCATACTATGAGGGCCGAGGTGATAAATTACCCTGGCCCGGATGTAAATGTGTGTAGGCTTCTCAGGATCTTCCTAGCAACCTTAGCTGGGGATATGTGGCCTTTTTTTGTCAGTGGGTACCTAGGCCCTAATAGAGTGGATGCGGAGGGTCTAGCTGTACATTACTTCTTCCTTGAGAGGCACTGGAGGCAGTTGTGCGGGAGCTGACGTCGAGGCCTGGCTTACACTTAGTGAGATGGCCCGGGAATTTGCTGAATGGTTACTAATCCTGATTATAAGCCATTATTCACCCGGACAACTCGAAATCCTGAATCCTAAACCCTAAATCCTAAACCCTAAACCCTAAACCAAACCATCTAGAGAGAAATTCCAGCCCATCAAGGGAACTAGGACGTTACTGATCCAAAGTCCCACCAGCGGCGGAGTGGGTAACCCTTTGGTTAAGGGTTTAAGGTCTAGGCTGGGGTACACCTACCAATCAAGAGGTTCCTATGAATTTCATGTTTGGGGTGGTAGCCTTGAACCCTAACCAAGAAGCAGACAGTAGCCATACTGCACAATCATAAGCTTCTCCTCTTGAATGACCATCCAGGCCCGCTCCTAGTACCCTTCATTGGGGATGTATGAGCTATAGTCTGAACTCCTTAAAGGGGGTTATATAGGGTTTAGGATCTAAACTCTTTCAAGGGGGTTATATAGTGGATTATGTAGGGGACCATTCAACGAGTTATTAAAAGAATACTAGGAGTCTAGACTATAGTTCATGTGGCCCCCCTCAGGTGAGGGGTGGGGAGACTTTTTTTCATTAGCGAGGATAAACTTCTAAAGTTGAAAGCCGTGCCAGCCGCCCCAGCAGGGCCGCAGAACCACCCTGAACCCTAAATCCTATAAACCTTAAACCCTGTAAACCCTAAACCCCATAAACCCTAAACCCCATAAACCCCAAACCCTATAAACCCTAAAGAGCCCTTGGTGTTGTTTCGCCATTTCGGCTCTTGGACGTGGAAATCCTGACATAGGCGCAGACGGCCTTTGGCTGAAGCCTGGTGTTTCTGCCGCAGCCTCCCCACTCGGAATTCAATAAATGCAGGACCCTCCCAGTAGGCAAAAACAATGTCCCTAAACCCATATACGGACTAACCCCAAGATATACCCTGTTATAATATTGTAGTTTCCATTTTCTTTTCCATTATTCCCATATAACCCCAATATAACCCTAATACCAAAAAATCGTCACGAAGGAAGGGGTGGGGTCGCTGCTTCAGGGCACAGCGGGAGTAAACAACAATTTTGGAAACCTCTGGATGCTTGCTTCTGAACTGTGGGAATGGGTGTAACCATAAATTAGGGTTCCCTCCCTTAACCCTAAACCCTAAATCCTGTTTGGGGGTACTTCTGCTGAGGCTTATACACTCCCGGGAACTAACATGGAAACCCAAAACGGGCCCTATGAAGCCTAGAGTCCCTCTGAAAGGGGGCTATATGGGCTTCCATGTTAGTTTGGGGGAGTGTATTTGGGTCTTGGTTTTACTCCCCTCTAGTTCAAAATGACCTCTCTGATGATGAGTTTGCCCTAAACAATGAGCCCTAGGCGGCGCCGCATCTGACGTGCTAGGATCGTTGAAGAGATTCTGGAGTTAGGCAACACACATTATGGAACCCTTCAGTACTCTTCTACCTTCTTGTAACCCCTGGCATAAGTCAGTCACCTAACCCAGTAGTAACCCTAGATTCCCACACACCGCTAAACCCTAGGCCCCTAAACTCCTAAACCCTAAACCTAAAACCCTTAGACCCTAAACCCCTAACCCCAAACCCCTAAACTCTAAACCCCTAAACACCTAAATTCTAAACCCCTAAACCCTAAACCCCTGAACCCCTGAACCCCTTAACCCGAGAAAGGGGTGGACGATGTTTCTGGCTCGCAGCAAGCCATTGCCTATATGATACTGCCGGAGACCCCTAATGAAAGACTTTAAGTTTGTACCCTTAATGTTTGTACCCCTAAGTTTTGGGTCCCAAATACCCTTATTGAGGGCCATATTCCATATGTAGGGACCCAAAGCCCAAGGGTACAAACCCTAAGGGTCCAAAGGAAAACTCCCTGATAAAGGATCCCAAAGATGGATCCCGGGTTTAGGGTTTAGGGTTTAGGGTTGGGTCTTGGGCTTTAGGGGTTTAGGATTCAGGGGTTAAGGGTTTAGGGGTCTAGAGTTTAGGGTTTTGGGTTTAATGTTGCACTCGGTTTTGTGTAGGGACCCTCTTTAATGTCTCTTCGCCGCCGCTTATTCAGGACATGATGGCCAATGTCTGGGTGACCCTGTTTAATGTGTTTTG